GTAGGTGGGAAAAGCATTCTTTTCCCACCTTCCCACAGACGGAAAACCACCAAAGCCAGCACATTGAGGTCACCAAAGTCCACCTTGCAACTTGTCGTGTTTTGTTTTAAAAAGTCCACCTTCTGTCCACCTTTTCACCACACCCACCTTCTTTGTTCTTCCTCCCCTTCTCGCTGCTGGTCAGGCTCCCTAGTGCCCGTCACTGGTTGTCACCGCTGGTCTTAGTTGCTGTGGTTGGCTTGATGATGGTCCTGCTCCTCGCTGGTGCCTGCCACTGGTTGGCCTTGCTCACCATCATTGTTGGTAGTCGCCGCTGGTCACTCTCACTAGTACTGGTCACTGGTCATCACCACTGGTCGCCCTCAATATATTGGCACCCGACTTCACAATGATCTGAGTTTGTTGGGGAAGTTGTAGCTGTGGAGGTTGCCCAGTGTGATGAGGAAGTTGGTGGCCTGGCGGTCATTCCAGAAGAATGGGTGGCGCAGGATGTTCTCATGGCACTGCTTCTTGCGCTTGAGGCTCAGGTCGTACCAGGCATGGGTGTGTGGGTTGGCCATGAGCAGGTTCTCAAGCAGGTGGCGCATGGCAGCAAGCTTGTGTGGCCACAGGATGACCTCAGCCAGGCGTGGCCAATTGAACAGCTGCCTGGTGGCCAGTTCTCCTCGCCTGTCAGGAGGTAGAACAGCACCAGGCCCAGTGAGAACAGGTTGCTGGTCAGCACTGCATGCTTTCCCAGCAACTGCTCCAGCACCGCGTACATGTAGGTCCCTATGTGTGCAGGTGGCGTTGATTAAGTGGCATGATGTGTGTCATGTGTGCAGTGGTGCATGCATCATGTGTGGTGTCATGTGGTGTGTGTGTGTGTGTGTGTGCGGTGGTGCGTGCATGCGTGCGTGCGTCATGTGTGTGTGTGTGTGTGTGGCCATACCAGAAAGGACGCCTGTGGTGTTAGTGGTGGTGTTGCTGCTGAGCTCTTTGGCGATGCCAAAGTCAATGAGCTTGATCTGCTTCATGGTGTTGACCAGAATATTCTCTGGCTTTTTTATGCAACACCCAGGCATGTTACATGGCGTAAGGACTTGCTCTGCGTTGCTGCATGCATGCCAAGCATGCAGCAAAAGTTGTAAGGTACCTTGATGTCACAATGCACAAGACCACCATGGCCCCACCAGAGGTCGTCCAGAGTGCGCAGCACTGATCCCACAGCATACTGCACAGCGTCACATCATCAGCACACCACTGCACAGTACTCAAAGGGCCAGGAAATGAAGGCAAGAAAGTAGGACTGACCTGGCAGGTGAGAAAGTGGGTGGGCCGGCCACTGAGCATGCCCTGCAAGTGCCACAACTGGACAAGCTCCTTGAGGTTGCACTCCATGAGCTCAAGGGCTATGTAGTGCTCAATCTGCAGGTCATGGTGGTCAGTCAGCAGGCCAGACAGGATCACAACATGTCCAAAGTAGCACACAGGACCCATCATGCTGTTGCATGTCTTGAGCAGGTCAATCTCCAACTTGATCTGAAGTAAGCGCTGGCTGCAACTGAGGAGACTAGAGGGAGGCTAGCATATGGTGGGATCCTCAATCCTGAGCTCAGCGTTGTCCTTGGCCTTCAGCTCGAGCTCAAGGTTGAGCAGCAAGATCTTGGGGTTGGGGATCTTCTTGGGCTGCTGCTTGAAACCAGTGTATGAGAAGCATGGTGCACATCTCCTACCAGGCAATCAAATGGAATTCGCATGAGGCTGATCAAAATGAAGGAACCAATTGATTAGGCCACATGGAGAAGAGAAAATGGGCGAGTACCTCTTTGTCCTGTGATCAAGCGATATCAACCTGTGTGAGCAGCAGGGTGCACGACGTCCAGCAGCTTCATGATCATAGTGCCGTTGTTGGAGATGGTGATGTTCTGGCCCTCATAGATCAATTGGCTGATGAGCTGGGCCTTGCCCTGCGATGTATTGGTTCCTCCTTGATGATGATGCTCAGTTGCTGCACCATTCACATGGAAATTAGTCATTGCAATTCTACAAAACATGTACCAGCCTCCATCATCATCCATCCTCACATGACAACGGTTGTGGCAGGTGGGTAAAAGGGAGGAGCATGCGCACCAGAATTCACATGATGATGGCTACGATGTCGGGGGCGAGGCAAATTGGGCGGAGCAGCGCGGATTTGGCGCGAAGTCCAAAGGGCACATGCCAGAAATTTTTGAGGATGGTTGCCCTGTTTTTTCCGGACACCGTAACTGGCGGAAGGGCGAAATCTCGGTTCGAGGTGGAATTCTCGGAATCCCGGTTCGAAAAAAATTTGAAGTCAAATCGTGAGTGCCAACAAGCGCACCATCGATGCTGAAGTGAGTAGCGGGCGTCGCAGCTTGGGTTGTGGCCTGCGACGGGCGGGCAGGGGCAGCGCAGGGCCACTGGCGGTCTGTGCTGTGCCGCGCTCCTGCAGCACCACCACCGCCGGTGTCGATTGTCTGTCACACAGCACACACGATTGCACGACACGCACACAAACCGAGAAAAAGCGGCGGTAAGGAATGGGCTAGTGAACAGTGCTCAGGTTATGGCTGTGATCACCTGCACGAGGGTATAAGCCACGACGCCTGCTACTCACTTCAAGTCTTGATACCTTCCAACTCCTTTACACCACAGCTTGCTCCAGTGAGAAAAAAGATCACATTTTTTCCACCTCTCTGGTGGACTTGAGGTGGTCGACCACCTTGCAGAGCAGATCTGCATCATGTCCACCTCGAGGTGTACTCAAGGTGGACATGAAGATGGAACATGTTCATCTTCCGTCCACCAAGGTGCCCCCAAGGCAGACTTGAAGATGGAACATTCCATCTTTTGTCCATCAAGGTGAGCTGGTCCAGCTCTGGGTCACCTGAAAAGGTGGGAAAAGGTGGAATTGAGCATCAAGGCGCGCAAAATCATCACTTTCCCATCTACCGTCCTGGCAGTGTGTTGGCCGAGGTGACTGTGGACAGGTTGCGTGCCATCTCTATCTCAAGGTCCCACTCCTCAGGTGAGACAAAGTAAATGCTCACCAAGTAGTGGGGCCTGTCCCAGGGCATGATCTCCAACACAGCAGCTGTGCAGGTGCTTGAGGCGCTCATGGGCAGCAGGTTGTCCCCCAAGATGGTGTTGATGAGGGATGACTTGCCAATGCTGTGCTCCCCGTAGAAGCCAATGCGGCGCCCCTTGGCCTCCTTGGCACATAGGATCATGTCCTGCAGGTAGGGCAGCACCTTGAGCCACTCAGGATTGGTGCTTGCCCTCACTTTGTTGACCATGCCTGCTGCGTCTGTGGGCTTTGTGTGAAAGGTATTGCATGCTGCGTTGTACTTCCTCTCCAGGGGCTCTTGCAGCTTGTCCTTGACATAGGCAAGCAGTCTCTGCAGAGCTTCCCTGTGAGGTGAGGATGAAGTTAGGAAATGAGATTGGATTAAGGGATGAGATGAGCTAAATTGTCTTTGTTGGGGATGAGAATGCACTCAGGAGGTTCATCCACTTTGTGCACCATGTGGGCTGGTCTCTCCATGGTACACAACTACAAAAAAATAAAAATGAAGACAATGATCCAATTCCTGGGAAGTGGATGCTGTCATTAGGCACTTGAAAGCAGTGTCACCACTTTTTTCTGGGTGGAGGCTATTATTATGATATTTTAATTTACATGATTGGACTGGAACCAGCCACATGGCAAAGCCCAAGTGCAGGGGCAGTTGTCCTGAGCTGGCTCATGGCAGCTGGCACATGGAAGCCCACACCATTGATGGTTGTTGCTTTGCCAGGGGAGGAATTAGCTGTGTGGCAAGTACCACTCCTGGTGGGAGCTGATGTGCTGCTATGGGATGACTTTGCTGCTTTGCAGAATTACTACATCAGGCTGCCATGCTGGTGTAGGCATGGTAATGGATTTCTTGACCTGGCTGGGTTTGTTGGGTTATGGCAGACAAACAGGCATGGCCATGGCAGCCATGGGCTGAGAGCACATCCTGGCTTGGTATCACCTTGCCATGACCCTTGGGTGTGACTACTTGCTGCACACATGACACAAAGGAGCCCATGGTTGTTAACACAAAGAGCAGCACATGACACATGGTTTGCATTCCTAGCACCACCATCAGTGCATCTCTTAGCCAGAGCTCACCAGCTGCTTGGCCACAGCACACATGGGCATGCAGAGCCTCCATGGGGAAAGGATCACACCACCACAATGATGGGTGGTCTGTGGTGTGAGCAGATCATGGCTGGTGGTTGGCAGAGTGGCATGGAGCTCCATGCAGTGGAGGTCGCCAAGGTTGGCGCCTCCACACTCATCTTAGGGGATTGTCAACTGTCTATTTGTATGAGCTGAGCAAGCAACATAATAAAAAACACGGGGCTGTATCAAAAATTGGACGCTGTGCACAACAGATAACAGTAGAGCCGCCTACTTGCGGCGCCAAACAGTGGCGTGGGCGACACAGAGCTGGAATTTGCGCACATGCTCACGGATGAGCAGCGGCATGTCCTTGTGCTCCAGGAGCTCGAAGTCGGCCTGCAGCGTCTCCTTGAGAACATCGAACGTACGCACTTCCTTGTCTGCACGATGGTGGGAAACAGACACGTTAATGCGCATGCCACACTCGCATGCGAGGCACACACGCACGCACCGCACACGCACGCACGCACTGCACGCGCCAGGAGAAAAATGGGACAACGCACCTCCGAGGTGGTAGCCGCCCATCCACTTGGAGGGGTGGGTGAACTGCTCGAGCCACGTGTAGGGCGAGGTGATGAGCATCACACCGCCAGGCTTCACCAGATGCGGCAGCACCTCCAGACACTTGCTGCTCGCCACACCCCGCACGACACGACACACGCGTAAGCCAACGAAACTTGAGTGCGTGTGTGTGCGTGTGTGTGCGTGATTGGATTCATACCTGGGAGCAGGCAGGCGGTCGAGGAGGTTGGCGAGCAGAACGGCGTCGTAGGCGCCGAAGGTCTTGGGCAAGCTGCAGGCGTCGCCGTGCATGAAGTTGACCCGCGCGCGGTCGATGTCGGGCGCCACCTCCGCCGTGGAGCTGGCCAGCAGCCGGCCCTCGGTGGCGTACTTGTAGGGCAGCACGCCCTTCTCCTGCAGCGCGATGCCGGCGTTGACAAACGCTCGGCTGTAGTCCAGACCCACGACTGCATCACCGCACACGCACGCATGAGAAAAACAGGGGGCGACTGTGTGTGCGCACGCGCGTCGAGGCGAGGCGCAATACCGGAGCTAAAAGTGCGGGCGAGTTCGAAGGAGGCACGGCCCACGGCGCAGCCCAGTTCGAGCGCCGTCGCTCGGTCGGCCGCCGCCGACGCATTCGGCGAATACTTTTTGAACGCTTCGCTCAACTCCTGCGCGCATCTGCACACGACACGCGCACCCCACGCACGACACGACACGCGCGGTGAGTGTCTGAGCACACACGACACACGCCACACAACACGCACGAGCGAGAAGCGGTGGGTTGCGATAATGCACCTGCGCGGGAAGTTGAGGGCCAGCTCGCCCAGGCCGGTGAACGGATAGGGGAGGACCTCGTCGTCCCGGCCGTAGTGGAGCTGGAGGTACTCCTCGATCAGCTTCTTCTGCTCGTACACGTTGCTCTCGTCGATCCACCGGTTCTCGGTCACCTTGTGCGGATTGTCCCCGATCGGATACAAATTCCTATCATTCCACCTGATGAGCGCGTGTGCGGTGGTGCGTGCGGTGTGTGCGTGTGCGGTGGCGTACAGGGAGATCGGGCGGATGGTTTGCACCAATCGGAAGCCGAGGTGTTGGAAGAAATGCCTTCGGAACCAATAGCGGGCGTAGGCCGACGCTTGGTCTCCCGTCGAGACCCACGAGCCGCCCATGATGAGGTTGTGGCGGCCATCGAAGCAGGGCGTGCTGAAGTCGAGGTAATACGGATGCACCTGCCGGTCCACACATCGCATCAGTGTCGTGTCGTGTCGTGTCGTGTCGTGTCGTGTCGTGTCGTGTCGTGTCGTGTCGTGTCGTGTCGTGTCGTGTCGTGTCGTGTCGTGTCGTTGGTCGTGTGCGCACCTTGAAACCGGGGAGACCGTCGGCCTCGTCCTCGGCCCATTCCCAGGTGTTGCCGTGCACGTCGTGGAAGCCCATGGGCGAAGGCGCAAACATGTTTACGGGCGTCGACGACGAAAACCGCAGGTTGTAGTTCCCTTAAGGGACGGTCAGCCATCGTGTGTGTGCGCGTGCGGTGGTGCGTGTGGCGTGTGTGTGTGCGTGTGCGGTCGTACCGATCGACTCCTTGCGCATGATGGGATCGGCTTCGGGCTGGCCCTTCAGCTCGCTCGGCGTGTCCCCTCGTAGACGATGCCACTCGGCTTCGGTGATGACCCTGGTTTTTCGCTGCTGTGAGCATTGCATAAATGAAACATAACGAAAAAGAGCGAAAACGAAAACGAAAAATACAACAACATTGAAAAAAAGAATAAAGAACAAAAGAACAAAGAATGCGTGAAGTACCGGAAGCCCTCGCCCTTCCAGCTGCAGTAGGCCTTGGCCTCGAGTTGGTTGACGTCGGCCGGCCAGTTCCAGGGCATCTCGATCTCCGCGAAGATCGCGCGGTACCTGCACACAAATCATCAACACATGACACGGCACACGCTCACGACACGACACACGACGCATGACACGCGCACAACACACAGAGGAGGGACTATGGGGTACTTGTAGGAGCCGTCGGGCTGGGGCACCCAGAAGGTGGGACACCGGGCCTCGCGGAACGTGCGCCACCGCCAGCCCTCGTCGGACCAATACTTTTGCGTCTCATACCCGCCCGCTTCCACGAACGCCAAGAACTCTCTGTCACGATTTCATGAGTTGCGTGTGTCGTGTCGTGTCGTGTCGTGCCATTCGTTTCGTGTCGCGTGTCGTGTAATACGCACTTGTTGGTGATGAGGTATTTGGAGGCGCGGAAGGCGGGAACGGTGACGTGGCGACGGCCGTATTCGTTGTCCCACCCGTACGACGGAAAGTCCGACGGCTTGCCCAGCTCCACCACGCCGTCGGGCACCTCGATCAGCTCGTTCTCGATCGTCTCCTCATTCCCCAGCGGCGCATACGCCGGCCACCTGCATCGCACGACACGACACACACGACACGACACGACACGCACAGCACGACACGACACACGGTCAGGATTGGTGGTGGTGATTGGGAGGAGAGGGTCGGGGCGCGCCTGGGCGGGTGGGCCAAGGCGGCGAGGGGCATCTGGCGCAGGAGGACTGACGAGGTCTCGATGTGGATGCGCTCGTGCTCCATGCCCATCGGGATGGCCCAGTACGGCTGGTCCCACGTGATGGGACTCGTGAAGGGCGCGCTCATGATCACCTCCTCCATCTGCGCGCGCACGCAGCGTCAGGTGTGTGCCGTGCCATGTGCGTGTGTGTCTGTGTGTGTGTGCGGTGGTGTGTGTGTGCGTGTGCGGGATGGACGAACCTTGGCCTTGACCTGTTGGCGATAGAGGCGGGCATCGGTGACGGACGGCCACTCGGTGGGGTCGCGGCCGTAGTCGTCCCACGACATCTCATCGACGCCCACCGCGAAGATGCGCTCGAAGTGTGCATTGATCCCCTCCGTCAACAGGCCCGCCTGTCATCGACAATTAATTAATATTATATTTATTTCATTATATTTAAATTTATATAAATAAACGCACAGGAAAGAGGGAGAGGAGGCGGGCCGCACCTCGCGCAGCTTGTTGATGTAGAAAACGGCCGGGTGAGTGATGTAGAAAATAAGCGGATGGCGCAGCTTGTCCGGCACTGCGTAGAAGCTCTCGTCTTCTTTCAAGCTCGAAAAGAGCGTTTCGTTGATCTCCCACCCTAATCGCAGCAAAACAATCAACACTCCGAGAACGTAAGTGATCGCTCCATCGAGGTGCGTCCATCATTTCGCGTTGTCTTGGCGCATAGATCGCGATTTCTACGATTTTGTTTGTCCGAAATCGAAGAACGAGTGATGGCGGCAAAGTGCCGATGAACGTGAAGAGAGAGATGGTGAAGGGTCAGCCCGGGCTTGTGCGTACCGTTGCGGAAGTAGGCGAGCACATCTTCTCTGGTGGCCGTGGCCAGGTTGAGCATGGGCAGCGAGACGAGGGTCTTGGCGGTGTTCATTCTCTCTCTGTGTGTGTGTGCGTGTTTGTGGGCGTAGTGGTGCGTGCACGCTTGTTTCGGGTGTTGTTCTCGAATGACCTCAACTGAGCAAAGGAAGGTGGCGCTGTGTCTGGAGTGACAGGTCCAACAGGAGTGTAAAATAGCAAAGAGGGAGTGGTGAGTTTTTGTGCACAGCCGCGCTCACGCAATGTGGCATCATCACCGCTACATATCGCGTAGCCGGACCATCATCATGTGCAGGCTCTACATACCCTCGATGTGTGCTGAAACGTAACGCGTTGAAGACAAAACTGGATCGCTCGGGCCGAGACTGTCCCTTAGTCAGCACGTGCAGTTTTGTCGCGGCGTTACTCGAAGCTCTACGGACAATAATTTTTACGGCTAAGTGCACCAATGGAGGGAGTACACGTCGGCGTTAAACTCCCCCCACACGTGGACTTGCCGCCGACTTGCCCGGGCGATCTTATGCATGACCTTACCTCCTCGCTCTCTCTTTCTCTGTGTGTGTGCAGAAGCCATTTCAACTGCACACTCGCTCACCCAAGGCCAGTTCGTGGGAGGCGGCACCAGCTGTTTACTGTGCAAAGAGGGCCAGAGGGCAGCTGCTAATGGCTACCACCTCCACTCCAAGGGCAGCCACACAACACAGAAAATTATTCCCGAAGCAAAAAAAATGATATCGCCCCACCCAGATTTGAACTGGGGTCCCAGGTACCAGAAACCTATATGCTGCCAACTACACCATGAGGCGCTCTTGTTTATTTGACACTTGTTATTTGTTTGCACCATAACGATGTGTTACGAAAGAGAACAGGTTGTAGTGGGCCATAAAAGAGATAGAACTCGATCTATCTTTCTGCTCTCAGTTGCCGCGATAAACGACGACTTCAATGTCCGCTGCATCTGCCACCTCGATTTACCAGAGGGGAGGAGGACCCAGCACCAGGCTGGGTGGCTCGGCTCGCTATGTGCCGCGTTGCTCGAGCCCGATGAGCTTCCTCGCCCGCGTGCCCTACTCGCTCGCGCTTTTGGCTACCGCCTCAGGACTGTTCCTCATCTTCAATCTCGCTGGGGCCTCCGCTGCAGTCGTCGGAGGTCCTACCTTGTCTGCGGGTGGACGCATCGGAGTTGCAGCCGCCTACTCTGACTTTGCCCTCAACTTCACCCAGGTACCTTCCCCATCTTCCACAACACATACAAACAAATTGCTTCTACACAAAATCTGTCATACAAATCGCAATCATCGATCATCTCGCACCCAAACAATTCGTTTTTTATGGAACTGTGCGCACCTGGTTGGCAGCAAGTAGTACTGAGTATGTCGTGTGCATTGGGGTGCGTGTAGGCCGTGGATCATTTCAACAGCCTGGACGCGAGAACTTTCCACCAGCGCTACTGGGAGAACCAGCGCTGGTGGAAGGTACCCACGCAGGCCCAGGCCCACCCTATGGCCATCCGTACGGCCTCCGCCTACGTGTGTCGTGTTGCGTGCGTGCGTGCGTGCGTCGTGTGTTGTGTTTGTTGCGCTGACGTGCCTGGGACACGTGTCGTGCGTGTGCGTGTGCGTGTGCGGTGGTCATGTGGCCAGTGCGCATCAACTCATTCCATGATGACGGGGATTGGAATACCTCGACCATTGTGACCTGGGCCAAGGAACTCGGTACCCAGCGCGCACACGACACACGACACGCATGACACACGCACGACCGCACACGCACGTATACGGCTGCTCAAGGAAGAAAACTGATGAATGGGTCACTTTCTCCGGCGGTGGGCGCAGGGGCGATCGTGTTCGACCTTGAGCCCAGGTATGCGGGCAAGAGCTACCCCTTGCCCGACGTCCGCACCGAAGATCTCCGCTTCTACTCCATCGAGCAAAAGTACTCAACGCCGCACACACGACACACACGACACGCACGACACGCACACGCGCACGGCACACGTGCGGCACTCACGCACGGTTGTGTGATGACAGCGTGGCAGACGTGGTGAGCTTCATCAGCAACAAGAGCGCCCTTCTGCCCAACAACGTGCGCACCCCTCCCACTCCCCCTCTCTCGCGGAATGAATGGAATGCTTAGCCATTCCAGCCGATGGAATGCTGACATATACATTTCGTCAATCGTGGGCGTCGTGACACACGAAACAGACGCGTTGGGTCGTGATGGGCGAACTGTTCGACGGCGCGTTCGCGACCTGGGTGCGCGCCAAGCCCCGCGTGGCCTTTGGCGTGGTGGCGGTGTCGCCCCACCTGCTCGCCGTCGAGGGCTACCCGGACTACGACCTCGCCTACCAGGCCGCCATCGGTACCGCACGACACGCACCACACATGACACGCACGGCACATGACACGACACGACACGCACTGACGGATGAGGTGACACGTAGGCTCGAAGTGTTCGAAAGTGATTCACGACTTGCTGGAGACCGTCTCGTGGACCCTCAACAACGAGACGGCCAACAAGGCCTACCAGGTAATCACCGCGCTTCAGCTGCGCCACCCTCCACCCACTGTGTCTATGTGCTCATCACGTGCCGTGCGTGTCGTTCGTAGAAACAATGCGGCAGCAGCGTGACCCTCCCGAATGCGGAATTCATGTACGTGGTGTCGACCATTCTCTTCGGCAACATGGACTCGAACTACGCCACGGTACGTGCTCCACGCCCTTCGCCCCTTGCGCCCCCCCCCCCGACTGCGCCTCGTTGACGCGACGTGTGCGTGTGCGTGTGCGGTGATGCGTGTGCGGTGACGCGTGTGTGTTATGGCCGCGTGCGTGTGCGCAGCTGTGCTCGACGTTCGAGAAAGTGAAGGACAAGGACAACACCACGCGGCTGGACACTCTGGCCAAGTTCATCGTCGCCATCAACGACGAGTGGAATGTATGCCGTGCTCCTCCGCCTTTGCGCCAAAGTGTCATCCCCCCCACACACGACACACGACACACGACTCACCGCACACACGACATGGCACGCACTTCACATAGATGGAGTTCACCGATTGGGACTTTGCGCTCGACACGGGCGGCAACATGAGCGACACAGGAGCCGGCTTCAGGCCCACCTACTACCTCAAGTGCACGCAGCTCGGACAATTTGAGGTACGACACACACGACACACACGACACACACGACACACACGACACACACGACACACACGACACACACGACACACACGACACACACGACAGCCAACTGACAGCGTGTGTTGTATGCGTGTCGCGTGTAGACGCCAGCAAAGTCGGGCTACAGTCTGGTGCCCGCTGAACGCACTGTGGACTGGTACCTGTCGGTGTGTCACAAGCTCTTCCCCAACCTCACCGCCGACGGACCCAACGTCGCGCAGGTCAACACCAACTTTGGGTACACGCGGGTTGTGTGTGTCATGCGTGTGTCGCGTGTGCGTGTGCGTGTGCGGCCTGGCGCCACGATGCTTGGGTCTGACGCGGTCATGATCTGGCTGGTGGCAGTGGGCGCGTGCCGGAGGGCTGCAACATGGCGTTCGTGGTGTCCCCCAACGATCCCTACTCCACTCTCGGGCCTGACCCCGTCCTCGTCCCGTCCAAGACCAAGGCCTCCGGTAACAAGATCATTCAGGTACGCACGACACACGACACACGACACACGACACACGACACGCATGTTCAACACAATGAACAAACATCGTTGTCATCGTTATTAGATTGACTGCGCGTCGCCGCAAGTGGGTCTCTCGCTGTTCTTGCCCGCCACGAGCGCCGATGCCCTGTGCCTCACCAAGGCGCGCGCGCAGGTGTTCCAAACGCTTCAGGCCTGGCAGACCCAACCCGGTGCGTGTGTGCGTGTGCGGTCGCGTTCGTTCGGGTGTGTTCCATTGGCGCGCACACACTAACGCCACTACACACACACGCACACTTGACAGACACCTGCCCGACCGTTCCTTCGGGCGGCGGAGGTGGCGGCGGCGAGGGCCACGGCGATGGCGACATGGCGCTGGTGGGCGTGTTCTCGGCCGTGGGCGGCATCATCCTGGGTATCTCCATCACGGGCGTCATCTTCTTCTACCTCTCCCGCAAGATCATCCAGCGCTGGAAGGCCTCAGCCTACGCCCATGTCAACTGATCTGGTGATCATGATATGAGTGTGTCGTTTAGTTAATGTTGCAACTTTAGATAGTTATTAAATTTTTATTGGTATGACTTATTATGGGGTTGGTGTGTGTGTTGTAACAAACAAGGCATTCGAATGGGTGCACGCATGGCATGTCGACCCCAACAAGGTGGTGTTTCTGGTCTGGTCTGGTTGTGTGTTGTGTTGGCGATGGAGCTTAAGCCTCGGCCTCACCCAGAAGGTCGAAGGCATTGGCTGGCGAGTTGTCCTTGGGCTTCTCCTCCTGCGCGTAAAAAGAACGAAAACGACAAAGTCAGCCTTCGCTTTCCACCCATAGGAGCTAAACTACACGCCTTTTGCGTGTGTCTTGCCGAGTTGAGTTGTGTGCGTGCGTGCGTACCTTGGCGGGCTGCTTGGCCTTGGCGGGAGCGGCGGCCTTGGCGGGCGCGGGAGCCGGGGCGGGGGCCTCCTTCCTGACGGGACCCCTGCTCTCGGTCGGGCCTCGGCCCTCACCCCTCTTGGGGCTCTCGCCTCTGCCCCAGCTGCTGCTGCCCGAGGACTCGCCTCGTCGCGGGCCCTCGCCCCTGCCGCCTTCTCTCCTGTCGCCTCCCCGGCCCCTACCGCCGGTCTCGGGCCTCTTGGCGCCCTTGTCGGCGTTCCAGGCGCCCTTGTCCTTCCAGTCGAACCCACCCCGACCACCGGCGGGCTGGCATCACGAAGGGTGGGGGGGGGGTGATCAGCATCCGAGCGTGTGCGGTGGGCGTGTGCGGCGGTGTGTGCGGTCGGGCGTGTGCGGCGGTGTACCTTGGCACCCTTGGCGCCGGTCGAGGAAGCATCCCTCCTCCACTTGTCGTCGGTCTTGGCCGCAGCGGCGGCGGGGGCGGGGGCGGCGGCCTTCTTCTGCTCCTCCTCGGCGACCTTCTTCTTGAGCTCCTCCTCGGCGGCCTTCTTCTTCTTCTCCTCTTCCTCCTCCTTCTGCTTCTTCAGCTTCTCCTCGAGCTCCTGGAGCTTGCGCTGCGCGGCGAGCTCGTCGCGGGGCCGGGCGTCACCGAACGGGTTGGCCGCGGCGGCCTGCTTGCGCTTCTCCTCGAGCGCCTTCTTGCGCTCCTCCCGCTCGCGCTCCTCCTCCTCCGTCGGGGCCGGCAGCGGCTCCCTCTCCCTCGGCGCCGGACGGCCACCACGGTCGCCACGGTCGCCACGGTGGAAGTCTCTGCATTGTTAAAACATATCGCTTGTGGTGAGTTTCACATATTATTATGTTTGGAATATGTTGTTAAAAAAATAATTTGAAAAACATAGAGTTGAGCAAATCAGCATTGGATAGATATCTTCATTACGAGAGGCTATTTGAAAAATGGCCTCTTCTTCTGCGACCTTGAAATACCATCATGTGCTCGTGGAGATTCGGCATGACACGACACACGCACAACACGACACACGACACACACGAGTTTGGGGGGGGGGGTGGAGGTACCGGTCGTCCCTCCGGTCCCTGCGGTCGGGTCGGTCGTCCCTCCGGGGCTCGCGGTCGCGCTCCCTCTCGACGGGGGCGGCGGCAGCGCGCTCCTCGGCGGCCTTCTTGGCCAGATCGCGCCAGTTGGAATCGTCGCCGGTGGCGTCGTACCTGCCGGCACCGAATCCTCCACCATCCCTGCGACCACCCTGACGCTCGGTGCCTGCAGCATCGCAAAGGTGGTGATTAGTTGCCGTCGAGGCGTGTGTGTGTGTGTGTGTGTGTGTGTGTGTGTGTGTGTGATATGTGTTATGTGTTATGTGTGTTGTGTCAAGTGTTTGCGACAAGCGAAGCAAGCACCGCTGCAAGAGCGAATGGCACTTGTATTAGAGTCGTAATGTTTTGATGTTGTCCAATGGGTACGAAGCGAAATCCATGCTCTCACGAGTACTGAGAGATAAACCTTCGGCGGACACGTGTGTGCGGCGTGTGCGGTGCGTGTGCGGTGCGCGTGCGGCGTGTGCGGTGCGCGGCCGGGGAAGGTGCGTACGTTTGTTCTCAGCGACGTCGAGGCGGATAGCACGGCCGGCGAACTCCTCACCGTCGAGCTCGATAGCCTTGCGCAGCGATTCCGCATCTTCGAAATCGACGTAGGCGATGCCGCGCGGGCGGTCGGTTTCCCTGTCCCTGGTCATGCGGACGGCGCCCTCCCTGGGCAGGTTGCAGCCAGCCTATTGTTGCAACAATCACACAAGCAGATGAACAAAAGTAGAAAATTAATTGATCAAAATTGAGACGTGTAGAACATCAATTTGTATAACATCGATTTTGGACACGGGCAAAGATGAAAGCAGAGGAGTCGCGTACGTTGATGAAGAATTCCTCGAGCTCGGGGGCCTCGACCTTGAAGTTGAGGTTACCGACGAAGGCCGTCCAGGGACCCTCCTCGGGGATGACGGGCGGGGCACGCTGCTCGCGGGGCGGGCGGTCATAGCCGCCACGGCCACCCTCGCGGTCGCCGCGATCGTAGCCACCACGGCCCTCGCGATCGCCATAACCGCCGCGACCACCCTCGCGATCGCCATAGCCGCCACGGCCACCCTCGCGATCGTCGTAGCCGCCACGGCCGCCCTCGCGCTCGTAGCGATCGCCGCCGCCACGGCCGCCACCATAGCTGCCGTAGTCATCGCGATCATCACGCCTCGGGGGGCGATCGCCGTAGCCACCGCGGCCGCCCTCGCGATCGCCGTAACGGTCACCGCCGCCACGGCCGCCGCCGCTGCCGAAGGAATCGCCACCGCGAGGGGCTGCCGAGGCGCCGCCACGACCACCGCGGGCCGGCTGGCGGCTGCCACGAGCGGGCTCAGCGCCGAGCGAGGGGAACTCCTGCTCGCCGCCCACCACCTTGGCTGCACGAGTACATCGTGATTAATTGATGAATTTCTAATAAGATTGTTCGGGGCGAGGGCGAAGATCATTTGCGCTGCGGGAACTGAAGCTAGCACGTACGGGTGGGGATGATGGTCTGGGCGGGCTTGCCCCAGACGGATCGCGGAGGCTGCGGAGCGGCCTCCTTTTCATCCTCGCTAGCCTCATCGGCCCAGTTCTCAACTAGAATTCAAGAACAAAATTAGCCCCGAAGTACGCTCGCATCAACAACTCGAGTGGTAGCAATATCTAGGCGCCACTGAAATCATCACTCCTAAATTCCGGAAGATCGTGAGTTGATTGATAGATATAGTACCAGGGGCGTCGCTGTCGTCGTCGGCCCAGTCGATCTTGGAAGGTTCAGCCATGGCTTTGTGAGGAGCAATAAAAGAAATCGAGAGAGAATGGAGAGTCGAAAGGCTCTACACGCTATCGAAAAGAGAATCGCAAACGGCCAAACAACATTGCCCCCCCCCCGAAGCTCCGCCGGAAATATCCTGGCACCATCAGTTCGCCCTCAGAAATTTCCCTTTCGTTGTGTCGCCCTCTTAACCGAAATCCAATGTTTGCGAAACGATTTCGATGTTTCCGAAAGTCGCCAATGGCCGGAAAAAGGAATAAACCGCGAAAAAGGGCGCCTCTTCGAGTTCCTTTGCTGGGCAGGTTCAGAGTTGGGTTGGACTGTCGAAGAGCACATCAATCTCGCCAAGAGATCACCAAAGATGGAAAGGTGGGCCGTCTGCTTCCTCGCTATCTCGGTTGCTCTCCTCGCCTCGCTGGTAAGTGAATCTCAGCCTCCCTATCGTTGCCTCACCATCAACCCCCCCCCCGACATCCACGCAAATCACCTCCTTGGAAATCATAATGCTCTACTTGCCACCCACCCTTCTTGTTTTCAGTTACATTTGATCATCAGCCAAACTCATCATCATCATTGGGGGGTGGGGTTGATGCATTCAACCAATCTAGACCAGCGTGAACGGTCTGGGCTGTCCCTGCGTGGGAGGCCAGGCCTTCGCGCCCTTCAGCGGCCCCGGTCGATTCACCATCCCGCGGGTCAAGGCCATGGAACACAGCATGGAGTCCCTCATCATCAACTACATCGCCCTCAAGCTGCGCGGCGGCTACGCGCGCGCCGTCTTCCAGGAGCCCTCCGACCTGCGCGACTACGCCTACGAGCACTCCAAGATCATGGCCCTCAAGGGCGAGGTCTTCTTCGACAACTGGCCCGCCTCGTGCGCCGGCAACCTCGGCGGCGCCTGCGACTGGGACTTCTACCGGGCCAACCGCAAGTACTACATCCAGGAGGTCCACTCGCTCGACTTCACCGACGCCGGCTTCCCGCTGCAGGACAAGACCGGCGGCAACGGCTACTGCGTCGACAAGGTCGAGGAGTTCTACGGCAAGTCGACGATCCCGTCGGCCGCGGTGCTGATGAAGGACGTGGTGGACAACATCGCGACGACGATCGACGACCTGTTCCCCAACGACGGCGTGGTGGCGTCGGCCGGGCCGCACCTGTGGGGCGTGGGCGTCTACACGGACTCAACGTCGAGCGCCACGACCTTCTGGCTCACCATCATCCGCGTCACCCTCATCTCCTCGGCCCCGTGCGAGTGCGCCATCGCCCCGTGCGCCGCCGCCTAAACTTTGCTCTCTCTCGTTCTTCTTCTCCTCTACAACCACCACCATCACCATCACGTTCATCTTCAACTGCTTGATCAGTTCGGCCGTCTCCTTCTTCCTGGGTAAAAATAAACTTGGACGGCATTGGCGGGTTATCAGTTTTTATTGGTGAGGTCGTCGATGGTGGTGGGTAGGTACATGATGGGGCAATGATGATAGGCCGCGCTGTTTTCTTTCCTCCGCTCGAGCGTTTTACCTCCTCCTGAGCCGGTCCAGCGGAGCGCCGGGTCCCTTGACCTTGCCGCGTCTGTTATTGGGAGAAGAGGGTGGCGATCGATGAGTGTGATGATGGTCGATGGTGGCAACAATCAGCAAAGTGGTGACGATGGGCGATGGATGTAAGTAGTACCCCTTCTTGTTGGCCGAGTCGAAGCCAAAGTCGACATCGGCAAAGTCGCCGGCGGGCATGTCGCCCTCCATGGCGACCTTGAGGTTGGACTTGATCTCCTCCACCCTCTGCTCAAACTCCTTCGTCTGCTTGGTGTGCTCCTCGTGCGACAGGTTGGCGTACTGGATCCGCTCCTGAATCTCGCCCATCAGCATCTCCGACTTCTGACACCTGTACGCGCGTGCGTCGTGTCGTGTCGCGTGTGGTGAGTTCATACGCGCACACGTGCAAAGTAAACTTCGGTGTAGCTCGAGCGTGCGCTGTTACCAGAGGTCGAGGATCTTGATCATCTCCTGGAGCTGGCCGGGCCTGATGTCCCTGCCCATCGTCCAGTCGACCTGGAAGCGCTGCTCCTTCTGGTCGAGCTTGCCCTTGATGATGCCCGCGTAGATGCACTCGATCACCAAGTCCTCCAGCTCTCGCACGTTGCCAATGTCGAGCTGCGCCAGCAGCAGCGAGTACGGCAGGCTCTGCAGGGGCCGCAGGGTTAATGGTCGCGTGGTGGGGCTCCGGGGGGGGGGGGGCGACCCACCTTTTGGCTGGAGGCGAGGGCGACGATGGAGAGCTGCTTGAGCTTCTTCTGCAGAGGAGCCGAGAGCTCACCAAAGTTCTGGGGCGCGGCTGCACGTAGCGGAACGGTGGGCGAGGCGAGGCGCGAGGGGTGTGAGTGCACCGTGCACGGCTTTGGGGAGGGGGGGGTGGAGGGGGACGCACCCTTGTAGTCGGAGAAGGTGCCGTAGGCGAAGAGCGCAAGGGTGTCATACCACACCTTGAACTCGCCCTCGGCCAACTGCAGCACAACGACGTGCCCATTGATTAGAACGCACACTCGCAGCATATGCAAAAGGCTTGAGCGGATTGGCACTGCAGTGCCAATTTGGGAGGGGGGAGGTGATGGCACGCGAGAATTGATGGCAAAAATTAACTGTGGCGAGCTGAGTACACGTAGAATGAAGAACTGATGATGTGGCAAATTGAATAAACGTACTGCCTTAATGTTTGCTACGTCGAGCAGCTCGCCAAAAACGAAGGTGTTGGGGGCCTGAAGAGCCTGCTGGATGACACCCACAGCACCTCGTCCCTTCGTGTTCTTCGCGAGCACGATGTACCTGAGCAACTGCCCCGATTCAGATCCAGACGCATCCGCCATTTTACTTTGCTTGTTTTGCGCTACTCTCCAAGCGATGTGATCTTCTCTTTTCTCTGGCAATCAAGGCCCTTCGCAGAAACTCAAAAAGAATTTAGAAAATAGTTATTTTGTTGTTCTTCTGTGAATTCTTTGTCTTCGGTGGGGTGTTTAGTCGCTATCCTCCTCGTCATCTTCATCATCGTCGTCTTCATCTTCTTCCTCCGCTTCCTTGAGCCACTTGAAGAAGGGCTCGCACTGGTGACACGAAAACCAACATCAGAATGCGAGTGCGTCGGTGGTGCGTGTGCGTGTTCGCTGCGGTGCTGTGTGTCGTGTCGTACCGCTTGGAGGATCTTCTTGTGCGGGCCGTCCGTCTGGGGCAAGCTGCGCTGCCACGCCCACACCGACTCCTCTTCGATGATGTCCAAGTTGTAGAGACCGTTGATGACGTGCATGAAGCCCGGCTCCGCTGCTGGGTACTCCTCGCAGTATTTCTGTGTGTGTGCCACCGGACACAAATTATCATCTCATCCAACATGGCACGACACGCACACCACCGCACACACGCACAGGACACGAGACACACGGTGGGGAGGGGGTTTACCAAGAGAGTGTTGAGCAGCGCGACCTGCTCGTCGACGGACACGACGTAGCCGTTCATCAGCGGCGCCCACTTGCCGACGAGCTGGACGAAGGATTCAGAGTGAGGGCCTGTGCTGCTTTGCATGGGGGGGGGGCGGAGTCGGTACGCACCTGGGCCATGGCGGGCACCGGCTTGGGGTTGCTCGACACCGCGATGTTGATCAGCGTGCGAAGCGCAATGCACGCCACTGCAGAGAATTCGCAGTTTGTTTGTTAACCTCACCTCGCTGCCCAGAAGAAGAACGAAGAAGAAGGGAAGCGTACTCTCGGAGAAGGTGCGGTGTTCGAAGGTGAACTTGAGGGTCTTGAGTTCGAGCCTGAGGTTGTCGATGGCGTGGTTCTCCTCCACGGCCCTCTCGACTGTGGCCTCCACCTCCGACACCCACCTCTCCTCCTCGCCGTCGAACGTGTCGAGGCCGGGCTCCTCCATATCGCTCCCCTCGCTGTCCGTCGCGTCATCAAACTCAGAGTTCGTGTCGCTGTCGTCCCGCTCCTCCTCCTCCACCACTACACATTCAACCCCGCCATCACCGCCGCCGCCTCAGGTGAGCGACTCTCGAGTCGAGGGGGCAGTTTGGGGGAATTAGGGGCACGAAAACGTACGGAGCTGGTTGAGGGGATCGGTCTCGATCCAGCGGACGCCGGCGCCGTTGGGCCCGAGGGCCACCTCCTCAAACTCCACCTCGTCGTTCTCCTCCTCCGGCTCCAGCGCGATCTTGGCGCACGGACCCACGCGCGCACCCGTGCCGACCACAGCCTGTCGCGCAGGGCAACAGCGCATCATTAGCGACACACGACACGCACGACACACACGGGAGAGGAGACGCACTCGGAAGGAGACGAGGCTGGCCTTGTCGACGACCGCGCCGGCCATGATGCGCGCCTCATTGCAGACGATGGAGTAGGAGATCGTAGCGCCGTCGGCCACGGTGGCGCCGTTCCAGATGTAGGAGCCCACGATCTTCACGTTGGCTCCGATCTTGCAGTTGCGTCCGATCACCGAGTGCGAGATGAATGTGTTGTTGCCAACCTCGGTACCCTGCATCACACCACAATATTAGTCCACGGTGTTGGGTGCCAAGAGGGTCGAGGGGGAAGACCTGGCCGATGACGGTGTCGCGACCGAGCGTGGCGGAGCGGGCGAGCTTGATGCCCTCCTCCTGGTATATGTTGCCGCGGAGATACTTGTACGACGTGGTGCCCATAAAGTTGCAATCCGGCACCATCGGGTAAGCCCACCTGGTTACCACAACACGCACGACACACATTCAGGCACTCATGACCACACACACACCACACACCACACACACACCACACACACACACCACACACACACAAACACACACACACACACACACACACACACACGAAGATGGTCCGGGCGCTTCACCTGTGAATGATGTCCTTGCTCACGGAGTCGTAGGTGCGGAGGATGTTGACGCGCGCGGCGTACTCAGTGGAGATGATGTGGGTGAAGATCTTGTACTTGTAGACCTCGTCCACGACCACGCCGCGGATGAAGTCCTGCCGGAGGTCGTTGTAGTCAAAGTTGTCGGCGCACACGGACAGCACCTCGGGCGAGCAGATGTCGATGCGGCAGTCGAGCAGGTCGTATCTGAACTGCACGCTGGAGTTCTCGGCAAAGACGTCGGTGTCGAGGTTGACGGCGTCCTCCTCGCGATCGTTCTCCAGGTTGAGCAGCTGACCCGTCGCCGGGTTGATCACCACCACGCTGTCGTCCTCCTGCGACCTGCAAGTCGCAACGCCAACACCACAATTGCTCAGC